GGGGGCGGGATGGAAAAGCTTTTCCGGTATTAATCAGGTTCGACTTATGCAGTGTTTCAACATTTGTCTAGTTCCCGCAGGCGGTCTTGGATCTGGACCAGTGACTCAGCTCGCTGCAAAGGCTCAGCATCACTCTACATCCATACAGAGGGTGGAAGGACACCTGGACAAACAGGGCAGCGATACAGATCATACAGAGATGTGCGTGTTTGCAAATGCAAGTCTATTAATTTTGCGCATGTGCTTTTGATGTATGAATGTAAGCAAAATGATCCTACCAGTGTAAAGTTTTCTCAGCGGTTAGTTTTAGTTGTCACACCTCCCAGAAACCCAGTTGGAAAATTGCCCATATAATCAGACTTTTATGGCTTGTTGAATTTATTACTTCTTGCTTTTACCGAATATTAGATACTAATGAATGTTTGATCTATTGGTCCTCTCTGCTGTTAAGGTTGTTGTGCGACTATAACTCTGCACCCTTCCATTTCATATCCCTATTCAAAGCGCATAGCTGATTTCCTCATGTCTGCCCCTGTCATTACCGTTAAAGAGATGTGCACGTCACTAATGGCAGACTTAATGCTCAAGAGACAGCAGAACCATCACAACTTGAGAGCAGATTTTTATTATTCATGACCCTGCAAACAAACAATATTCGATCATATACAACACGTAGCTGTACCCTTGTCCCAACCTTAACCTTTTCAAAAAGTACTTATCTGTAATTTATCTTTATTTCGTGGCTGTTTCAGAGTGAGGCTGTGGGCAACATTAGCAAAGACAGCCAGGAAGCATGAAGTTTGGGATGTGTGCCGAGCTGCTTGTGGATTCTGTTTGCTTTATGATGACGGGAGATGGAAGAAGACTGACAGTAAGATGATGAATGATCTTAAGAGTAACACTAAAATAACAGAAATATTTCTAATACTGAGTTTCAGAATACAGAATAGTAATGAGAAGTCAGGCTTGTACTCCTATGGCTATAGTTTAGGTTTTTGTGCTAGAGATCTGTCACTGATTGTTCACATAACATATTTTGCTAATTCTCTCCAGCGCGCAACTACTCAGAGGGGGAAAGCTGTGTACAGTGTCTTCACGGTTCCAGTGAAAGTCAAAGCTTTGTGCACCTGCTGCGCCTTTTAGCTGAAATTCGCTTCATTAGTGCTGAGGTTTGTTCTTACTAACTAATACACACAGCCACTCTTCAGCTCCTGTGTTCCTACAGATGGAACCAACACACTCCAACAGGTTTCTTATAACTCCAGTATTATAAGGTTGGCCCTTTTGATTAGTCATTACAGGCAAGTATTATAGAACTATAAAAAAAATGTGGAGCAAAAGCTTCTTGCACAATGGTCAACAGAACGAGAGGAGACTGAAGAATGTTGTGATTAAACAAACACAGCGAAATGCACTGTCCACTTTGTTAGGTACACCTGTTCAACTGCTGCTTAATGCAAATTTTGACCGGTCCAAACTGAGCAACAGAATGGGGTAGAACGGTAATGTAAGTGACTTGAATGTGTAATGGTGTCAGTGTTCTGAGTATTTCAGGAACTGCTGATATGCTCGGATTTTCCCAAACAACCATCTTGAGAATTAAAAATTAATTAAGGCAGTTTTGAAAGCCAAAGGGGCTTCAGTCAGGTACTAGCAAGGTGTAACTACTCAAGTGTCTGGTGAGTGCAGGATAGCTGTTCTGTGCCATAATTTGTTTTTGTGAGTATCGTAAACACACTGAGAGGTTTCTTAGTTTCTCTTAAAATGTAATGTTCCAGCATGATCTGAAAGAGTATTTTGAATGATATAGTAATAACTGAAGTTGAAGGTTTTCATGTTCCTACTGTAATGTATATTCAGAACAGTGACTGGTGTAACATCAATGGGCTCATATTCCTTCTGTTTTTGATAATTAAAGACGGTAGATTTATTATTGAATATGTTCTTATGCAGATCAGACAGAAACTCTTCATACTGAAAGTTGTTTGGCTCTAAAGGCTCCATACCTGGTTTGTTAGCCACCAGCTTCTGAATTAAACTTTATTTGAATTCAGATGTTTTTGTTATAAGGTGTTCATGTTCATTTTGTGGATGATCTTAGATCAAGCTGTTTCTTTTAGGCTGCGCCATCCTTTTGAAATACACCATTAGAAACAAAGACTGCTTGCAGCAGTTGACGTGCATTATGGGAGTTTTAACAAGCCTGTGAAGTTGTTGGTGAGTGGTTGGAGTCAGAGACTGCTGTGCTTGTCTCATGAGTTTGTCTTATTCTGCATACGTGCTTCCCATCAAATGTGTCCAAGTCTTTATTAAGTCTATAGAGACGTTAACTTGACAGCACTTTAAAGAAAATGAAGAGAACTATCCACACCCATGGCACAACCTTGCCAAAACTGACACACGCTGTAGCCTCTTTTCTTATACCTTTGTTCTATGACACAGGGATATGTTTTCTGAAAATTTGATTAGATTTCATTAATTCAAAAGCTACATTCTTCTCAGTCTGATGATGACGACTGGTTCCTCTTGTCTTAACCGAGTTGTCCACCTCTGGATAAAATGTTCACCAGTCATTTCTTTTTGTCTTTGATCTGTATATCTGAGCTTTAATACCTTTAAAGAATCTGTCATCCCCATAGCAGGAGGTTTTTCTCTTTTTTATTATAAAGTTGTCAAAACAGGAAGTCATCTTTAATATTATAGTTTGTGAAATTAATGTATTCTTTCTTGTTCAGGCCACTATCCAAAAGCTACTTGAAGAGGGGGTACAGCTAAATAGCCCTGCTGTCCCCCCACAGGATAAACAGTTTTGCGTGTCAGAAGAGGATCCACACTGGGTTATTTACAGGTGAAAACACAATATACACCTGTAGGACACCAGATATTTTGATTTTGTGTGTCTTTGCTGTTTACTGTACCTTGTTTTTTATAACTTGAATATGAAAGTAATTTGAAACAACATTTTTTACTTTTTTAAAACAAAGGTTAGAGTACCGAAAAAGCAGTCTTTGCATTTAGGTTGCACACAGTGGTTATGTTGTCCCAAGGGTGTGCACTCTATTCTGTAGCAACAGTGGAACTAAGTTCCATCATGGTGACAACTTTAGCTAAAATTACAAGTTAGCGATGGCATAGCTGCAGCACCGACATTGTTCTCCACTTCAGTGGGGCTCACCACTGTTGCGGTGTTGTGGAGCTGTACTGAGCATGCAGGCGCTTCTTCAAAATGTGATCCTGGCACAAAGTACACTTCCACATTGTAAGCCATTCGATCCACCATCTTGCTAGCTAAGGTCTAGAGACATGCTTGGAAGACTTGTCTGCAAATTTATGCCGAAAAAGTGCTACACAACAGGGAGACACAGATGATAGATCATTTGCATTCTAAGAAAAAGTTGTGACTTTCCACTAAAACCAACACATTTCAAAAGGGGCAACTTTTCCAGTTTCCATCACAGTTTCACAAATACTTAGTGAGCAGTTGGAAAGTGTTTGGTAACTACTTGGCATTTTCCATGCAAATTAGAAGAGACTGCAGAAGTCTGCTCGCGGCTAAAGTATTGGCAAGGTTTTACAATATACCTCATAACCACTTTCACTTAGTGACAGCATGCCTTCCACAACCATTAACCAACCAGCTGGGGAATAAACATTTTCCCTAGCTGGTTATCAGGGGATCACTGACTGCTCTTGGGCTGTGGCTGTGGCTAAAGAGTTGATTTCACATCACATTCCAGCAACCTCTCACAACCAGGAAACCAGGAAGTATTCCTCAGTTTCCTGGTTGACCCTGGTACAAAATAAGGGTTCCAGTTTCTTCTATAATGCGATTGCCAGGCCACCACTCACCGGCCTCTAGGCCTGTGTGACTGAAGCCCAAGGTTAATATGTGCACTGGCATGGACCTGTGTGCCAAAGAGTTGGGGGGGAGACACAAACATTGGGAAGGTCATGAGTTTTTGCCTTGTTCTTTTTCTTCCATCAAAATAAAAGTAACAGAGAAATACCGTCATATTTACCAGAAATTGTTTGCTTCTTTGAAAAAGCATCTAAATACCTGATTAATTGAAACTAAACAGTTACATTAACTCTTACAATTAAACAGTAATCGAGTACTCTGCTTTGCACCTACTAATTAAATGAGCTTAATTTCCTTATTTGTCAAACTAACAGTTCAAACCTGATCTGGGAACATTTCTAAAGCAATCAGATGTTATGGAAGAAGGGTTCAGATATCTTGTGTAATGTAGTTAAAGGGTAAGGATCAGATACTCCTCATTGCTTGTTATAGTGAGATCAGCATTATGGTGGTCAGGGTCACTATAGTATATTATTATTTATCATTTGTTTAATATATTTTGGGACTGGAAAATGGGCAAACTGGATAAATGGACATGTGCATCCAGAATCTGATATTTTTTATTTTTTATTTTTCCAGAGTGTTTTCCATCTTGTCTTCTTTCTTGGATTCCAGCCATCGTTGTATTAGATAAAACAGCAGCCTATTTTCTTTATTGACTTGACAAGACTTGACACATGGCATTCACCATTGAAATCACTGTACTGATGTGCTGTGCCTGAGACCTGCCTGAAATCTATTTCTGGCATATTGTAGAATTACAAGGGCTGCCAGCTGTTACTGTGAAATAAGATGAATACCTTCTTAAGTAGAATTTGCAAATTCTGTAAAAACTTGATTGAGTAATTTTCCTTCAGTAGATGAACGTGTTCATGCTAAAACAAGTTTAAAGATGAAATTGAAAATATTGTACTGCACACAAACACGCACAAAGAGTACTTTTTCTATCCTTTTTTCACTCTCTTCTATATTTCTGTGCTTCTCTCACCCAGGGACTGGATCCAGGCTCTATGTGCCTACACCACCTCCAACTTCTTGCGGGCAGGGGAGCTCGGAGCAGAGATCGGAGAGTCGTGGGTGGTAGCTAATGCAGCCATTTACCTGTGGAATTACAATAGCCACTTGCTGGCAGCTAGGGAATACACACGCCTGCTTCCCACCTTCCAGAGTCTTGTGGACATGCTCCAGAAGACGGGGTACACTGGGTAGGCTTTTTTTTTAGAAAATTATACCTTACCTGCAGTGTCACAGCTTCACTAATCTAACATAAAGATAATTAAAACACACCCTGAGAATCTGAACTGTAAAAGCACCACAGAAAAACTCATTATGAAACAAAATCCATGACATTCTAGATGAAATCTGCCTCTTATCAAGTTGTTAAGTTCTTACTCATTACTTCTCTAAATCAAGGTCATGAGCTACGTTAGTTATACCCGTTGTTGTTTTTGCCAGCACTTAGGATTATCATTAAATTAGTTTTTGCTTCAGGGCAGCTGGGATAGGCTCCAAGATATGTATTTGGTAGTTTCAACACAGCAGACATCCAGGAGACATCACATTGTTAATTTAGTGAGTATATTCTATGTTCAGCTGGATTCTCAGAGCATAATGCATTTTCTGTGGTCTTGTAAATTCTTCTTCTCACCTTTCCTCGACTTCATGACATTTTCCACTAAGGTCAAGGATAAGTGGTTGCAAAAATGAGTTATTCGATGCTCCCTTAGATTCTGATTAAGTTCATATGTTTCTTCTTAGTCTGTGTCTTTGTCTCTGTCTGTGTGAGGTTGTTTTCATTTCATACCAGTCTGTGTTCTTATTTTTTACCCTTTTTAGATGCTATCATTATGCAGCACTCTTTTTTTTAGTTGGTTATTATAGTGCCTTCTTGAGTCCCTGCAAGCCCAAGCTAGTTTTCTGTCTGCTTTGGATCTTTCCTCATCAGCATGACACCTGCAGCTCCTCGCACTTTGTAGTTTAGCTGAAACAGAGAAAATTACACAGGATATTATGTCTTGCTGGTGTAACTAAAAAAGTTAGATGAAATCACATAAATATGTTTTGTAAATACATTGTGTGTTGAGCAAATAAGAGCAACCTCTAAATAACAAAACACATTTTGGTTTTCATCCATTTTATTTACATTATTATTTACATTTTATTTTGATTATTCTCTACCTCCCCCAAGGTGGTTATGTTTTTTTGGTAGCCTTTGAATGTGTATTGTTCTGTCTGTAAATGCAATAGCTTGAAACATTTTGAATGAAACTTGGTGCAGATTCAGTTCATGTTAACAATCCATTAAAATTTGTTTTACATCCACTAAGGTCAGCTTAACGACTTATTGGTCTAAAATTGGCAACAACAAAAAAAAGCCTTATAACGTATAAACTCTGATTCTTACATGTGTGGTGTGTATTGTCAAATAACATGTAGCAATTTAAAACCTCTGACCACTTATTCAAGCTCAATAGGTTGATACATAGAGAGCTATATGATTATGGAGCTATTGTATGTCTATAACATACAATACCTTTCCCTTAAAAGTAAATACTGCCCAGAGAATGAGCTGCCTTGATGGAGTGCTTCTTGTTTTTATTTGTTTTATACAGTATGTTAGAGCTGCTTAACCAACAATTAATTAATAGTTTTCTGCATTTGTGTGTGTTTCTTTGTTTTTGGTGATACACTGTCTCTATTCCTCAGTACATTGTTCCGCATTTCTTAGAAATGAAAATGTTTTTAGACTGATGATCACACACATTTTATCTTATTCTGTGCGTTCTGAAAGACTTTCATCAGGCCACACATTTCTTTATCTACCCTCTGTGGAATAAAGTGAATACAAAGTCCTTCAGTTCAAGTAAAACTTACAAAATGTGCGTTCATCCTCAGAAACGTATCTGAAGCGTATTTCTTTTGTTGCTCCTGACAGCAGAGGAGACCATTTAAGCACTGCTCTTATTTTTGGCTATAGAAAGAAGCAGTGAAGCGTTCATGAGAACAGACCAAACTCTCCTTGGGCATAACAATAATTGTGCAAATGTTAGAATACACTGGCATTCTCATGTGACATGTGACCCAAGGAACACTTAGTTTTTTCGTAGCCAAATCTGTGGTGAGGGGAACATTATTTGTTTGTGTTTCTCAGGAACCGTGTTCTTTTTGTGCTGCTGTGTGATGCTGTGGCCCAAGGGTTGATTCAGCCTCTGTTTGGGCCAGACAACGTTGTGCCAGCTCCAGCAGAAGACAAGGGCAAAAAAAGAGCTGAGAAGGGCATAGCAAAGGCTGCCAGCACCTGTGGGGGTTTCTTAGATCCTGCTGGCCTCCAGGATGTCCACAAGGCATTAGAGGTGAGTCTCTTAATGTGGCTGTGCTTTTCTTTATATCACACAAGTTATATTAAAACTTCCTGACCTAGGATTTTCTGAAGCAGTTTGTTAGGTCATAGAGATATTTTCATCAAGATTAAATATGTTTATCTTGGGATTTCTTTAAAGCAAAGCTATCTCCAGGGCCACTGATGATTGGAGCTGATTTTGGCTGATACTTGTGGAGACGATAAGATATAATTAGACCACTGTCTCTACAGGGACGTGTTCAGAAAGGTTATGTAACATGTAATTATGACTAACAGGGTGTATATGTATGGTACATTCTAACTAACCAAAGCATATTTAGTTAGAAACCTGCTAACTTCTTGGATGGATGTTGTGGAAGAACACAGAATCTTCCTTGTGTCTGACTGATTGGAGTGTTTTGAGTTTGTTTTTGTTCAGTTTTTATCTTTTCACTGTGAAAACAATGTCTGAAATCCCAGCGCTGAAAGCTTAAGAACTGATTGGAATCTGTGAAAAGAGTTTAGCGCACAGTGTGTACAATCTCTGAATGCAGTTTGCTGAATGTTTGCAAGACGTGTTCAGAAAGTCAAGCGTTAATCTCTTTGTGCAGATATTACACAGCTAACAGTGTGAATTTAACATTTACAGACTGACATCTTTAAAAAGAAAAAAAAGTTTTAGACTTTCAAATCTAAATTGTCACTTTCCAAATCAGAGTCTAAACCATCAGGACTTACTAGAAACCTTTGAAATGCTCCCCAGCTGTATATATGATTCTACTTTATGCAAACAATGGTCTGTTTGTATAGAGAGCAGCCTTCATGCTCTCTTGATTTGGCCACTGAGCACTGAATTGTAGTTCAGCTTTCTCAGCTTTAAAATGGGTGCTTTTTTAGTGGTCTGTGACTGCTCAGTCACTTGCCCTTTGGTTGGTCAAGACAGCAATAAAAGGGGACATAGATGGAGTCAATCTGATATTAGTTTGTGATTGGCGGGGGTCATGTTGTCCATTATATCTGCTTGTAATAGTTTGGCAATTAGCTGAAATAAATTGGTGACAATTGTAAATTTGTTGCCATCCACATTCAAAGTCAAGTCAAAACCTCCCTAAATAGCAGTGTAGTTGCTGCAGGACAGTAACATAACAGCAAAATGATATAAGGTCTTTGGCAGCCTTGCTTATATAGGCAAATTTAATGAGAAAAAACGAGCTGGCAACACATTTGGGTCAAGTCCCTGATTGCAAAAAGATGAGTTGTCCTAACCAGCGCAGACTGACTCAGATTTATTGCAGCATAAAGGCATTCTGTCTGCATTTATTAACTATGTGGCAATTATTTGTAAACCTTCCCTGTCTAACAGTGATTGCAGTCACTTCAAGTCGCCTACAGGACAAGGGGACTACATGCTCAACCGCTCAAGAAACAGCCGGTCACTGCATCTATTACAATTGCAACCGCTCACCGAATGCAAAAAAATTCAGGGCAATAACTGGACAAACACAGATAGTGTGACCACCAACAGGGGAATATCAGATCTTTCTCTATTGGATATATATGACATATGATGAAGTATCACACAACTCTTAAAACAGGAAATGTATTTTCTTATTCTGCACATCCACCCATTTATACACACACTCGCACGCACACACGTGTGGACACGATCACATGTTGCTTTCAAGACTACATCTTTGTTGAAGACTGATTTCTTTGTTCTCTCGCCTGACAATTAAACCTTGTTTCCTTTCTCCTGATGTATTCTGATGGTCAGCCATGAAATCCAGCTGTAACTTCAGATAAAAGACACGTTATCAGTGAATTATTCACTAAATTTCATTGTGTCTATTTCCATTTTAAAGAAAAGAAGAAAAAACTATCCTTTGCTGTGTATGTTTTATTAATGGTATAGCAGGGTCAGATCCAGTGTCCAACTTGAACAAAGTCTTACTGAATTTTGACTCCTTTGTAGCTTGCATTAGGGAAGTATAATTATGCATCATGATGTATAATAACTGACTGACACCTGTTAAGTGTCTCAGATAGCTCATTATTGTTTTCTGCTCCTCCTCCTAGCTATGCGAGTACGCCCTTCGCATATCAAATGCTACCATCCCAGGGGAGACTGTCCCCATCTCAGCAAGAAAACGGGTGTTGGCTACATGGGTGCAGATCCATGGGCTCTTGCAACAGCAAACGGGTTCAAAGATGAATATGCTGAAAGAAGAGGTACTATTCTTAGCAGTTCTCTTTAGGTTCATTTAAGGGTTCTAGTTCATGTCTAGGGCCTAATCATTCATACGAAACCAAGTATCACCATTGAAAAATTAGTTAGCATTTTAGAGTTAATTTAGAGTTTGTGTAATTTACAGTCTCGAAGATTTATTACAACACTATATCAAACACAAGTTCAGACAAACAACTGTTAAACTAGCAGTCACTGGGTATAAATAGTGTATGTGGCAACATAAGAAGTAGTTTGATGTGTGATAATGTTTGTTTTAAACCAGCTCTATGTCCATTTATGTTTGACCTTTCTCTACATCTGCAAGCTGCTTGCATACCCACCTCTCCTGCAGCGCTTCCATGTCGTGCTATCTCTGATTCAATCAGCTCCCGCCACTGTTCTCACTGGCTTCTCAAGTATAGACATGAAGGGGACAGAGATGTAGGCTTTCCTCATTTTAGACTTTGCGCATACATATGTACAGAAGGATTGGTCCTAGAACGGAGCCAGGACGGAATAACTAGTCTGTTTTGACTAAATTAATCCTGACAGAATCAAATTAGGTTAGGTTAATGCTTCGGAGGTTGTGTTTTTTATATCGCTGCGTTTGCAGTTTTCCAATGGAGTTGACATAAGTGGATAAAAAAATAAAGAAATAAAAAAGTAAACTTCAGTGATGTAAGCCCTCAAGCAATTCAATTTTCCTCATGTGACAAGAATGATTAAGAAGAACAAAGCTATTTTTCTACCCTCCTGTGCATGCATTATTTTAATTTTCACTTTGAGGGTCACTTTAAGACTAATGCTCCTTCTATAGTTTATGATAAGCCTAAAACAGTCATTTTGGAAGCCTCTTGTTACATGACAAAATACGTCAAATGTAACATAGGATGGATTGTTGCTGAGTCATCTGTGTGGCTCAGTGTCATAACATAATAATGTCATTATTATAAAGTATTAATGTGCTTATGATACTGTGATGACTGCTGACATGCTCTGTGATGCTGTAGGTGTTGCATCCGCCCTTTTCATATTCAAGCTTTGTATCTGCTAGTGTGTGTGTTTGTCTCCAGGTGTCGTATGATTGTGCGGCTTCAGAGGGGGACAAAAACACGGGGAAAACACAAGTGTGATTTGTCATTCGAGCAGACCGTTCAATTAGTCACTGTAATCCTTTAACTGTTCCTCAGCCGAGAATCTCCTGCCCTACATTAGTTCCTTTGGCCTGATGTGTTTTTGACTCACAGCTAGATGAGGTTCGCTTCTTGTCATGCAAATTAGGAATTGCACTGTTAATATAACAGCGGCTCATCTCTAATTGCAATCAATAAATCATTCATCGACTCATTTTCCACACAATGGGAAGTCATACATTATCAACAAGAGCATCTCCGCAGCATTTGGAACACATGCGATATCTTAATTATACTACATCTTTATGTGTAATTTATACACAAATAGTAATACATGTATATGAGTTTCAGTTAATTAAACTGTATGTATATATTGAGTAGATTGCAGCTGAGTATGAGTTGTTTTCCACTGTGTTTGCAGAGTGAGAATGAGGACATGTCTGTGATGGCGTGTGTGCTGGTTGGAGTGGAGATGCTCCAGTGCAATAGGAACCCGAGGCATATGGAGTTCTCTGTTCCCAGTCTCTCCACAGTATGTATTTCTCTGTTTTCCTACAGTAGCTGATGCCCAGATTGCAACAACAGATGTCAACATGACCCATTGAGCCCTTGCAGCCTGTCTGCATCTCATCATTTGTCAGTAGTGTCAGTAAATGAAAAAAGTACTGTGCCAACCTTGATCATCCAGCTTTACTAGGATTATGATTGTCACTCCTCTGATATGATTAGCACGTGTGCATTTATTTTATTTTAGTTTCCTATTGAAAATTGCTCATTTAGACAGTTTGGCTTTATTCCACCCCTCTATCTGCTTTCACTCTTCCTCTTATTCTTTTATCAGTAAGGACAGATCCTCAATGTTTCTGCTTTTTCCATTCACTTTTTACGATCCCGCTCCTGCTTTTTCTGCCATTTTTTTCTTGTCTGCATATGTCCATTCATTCTTTTCGGTCCTTGTCCTTCTTTTTCTTCCTCCTGCTTCATCCTTTACACCCATGCATTCACTTTCTTCTCTTGCCTTTTCACTCACCACTCCTTTCCTTATTTCTCACCTTTCTTTTTCTGCCTCCATTCAATCACTTTTCTGGCCCTGCCCCAACCCTCCCCTGTCTGCCCCTACCTTCCCTTAATTTTGTTCCCTTCCAAATTCCAGTCCTCCTTCCTTGTATTCCCACAACCCTCTCATCATTTCCTCTTCCCTGACCACCACTGCCACCACCATCATTTTCATTCCCTCCCCTCTCTTCACTCTTCACCTAAAGCTGGTGAGCATGGCGTCGGAATGCAGATGGTCCGACGCCGTGGTGGAGTTGCAGGTGTGGTGCCAGCTGGCTGCCTTCTGCCACGATGTCAAGGACTACAGCTTAGTGTGCAGCTGCACCAAGAGGGCTCTGCTGCTGGAGGAAGCAGCCACAAAAAGTCTCAACACCATGCCATGTGTTTTGTAAGTGTGGTTGGTTTATTTCAACTCTAAAATAAGTACCAGGGTCATTTTTAAAAATGGGGATTCCTTATAGAAGCATTTCGGGCAAAGTAGTTAAGACTTTGAGGCTCACTTGACATCTTGTCCATAACCCACTGATAATTCAAGAAATCGATGCGTATTAAGCTACCTGTCTATTTGCCTGCTCTGTTTGGCTTTGACAACTATGCAGCCAGTCTGCTTCAGATTTGGCAGATGTATTGCTTTCGTCCCGAGTAAGTCCGGTGCCAAGTTTGATCTCGTTTGATTGAGATATTCTCATATATTTTTGTTCTGTGTCACCAGTATTTCACCTAGAGCTTACATGGGCAGAGTATGGCCTGAGGGCCAGAACCAGCCTGTGAACCATGTGAATCCTGCCTCTGAAAAAAAAAGAAAACTGTATTAATGAATCTTAAGGTGACTAACTTAAATGAGTTTGATTCCAACAGAGGGCGCACCACTTATGATTGCCACCCTCAATGATTCGTTATTCAAATAGACAGTACGGTTTTTAAATGTCTAATATCTGTTACATGTAGAGATGCAGTTCTGTACTGTGAAGATCTTAAAGTTACAGTTACACAAATTAGTCTAAAAAAGTCTTTTTGCACAGCATTTAGTTCGTTTTTGAATCAAAACTATACACAAATATAGCAAGTTATAAAAAGTCAAAAAAACATGTCTTGGGGTTTGTTTGTTTTATTTTTGTTTTTTTTTCAATAGAAATTCAGGCCTTCAGGACTGACAGATACTGCAAAATGTTCTCTTATTTCTCCTCTAAGTTATTAGGTTTAACAGACTGTGAGATATGTTTGTCAGTTTAGTTTTCCAGTGCTCTTCACTCACCCAGGCGTTCTTGTTTGGCTGTCTATGTGAGTGCATTCACTAGCGTTAAAGCTAGTGTGTGCAGCCACTTTCTGATCAGGTACATTCACACAAATAGCGGGTAAATGCTGTCCACCTAACAGCTACTTCACACCCTTGACAGGTCTCCAACCTCTCGCAGGGATAACACTTAAAGACAGACAAACATCCACACTCACATTAACACCGACAGCCAATTTAGAATTACCAATTAACCTAGCAAACATGTTCAGCCCATAGGTTGCTAACATATTTCACTTTTACAGTTTGGTTTGTTGATTGATAATGCCTGATAGATGATCTCACATGTGTAGGTATGGCCCAACTGCAGTGAATGAAATGCTGAGCATCACAACCTGCCTGAGAGGTTTGAGCTTAGTCCATGAGTCCAGGGGAGATCTACACTCTTACAGGGAGGCAATGGAAGTGCTCCTGTCAAGTGTCAGGTACTGTTTAGAGTAAACTGATTTATTGATTAATGCTTTAGGCTGAAAATGTTTTTGTTTTATTTAGTCTCTAAGTCTGCACTTTCAGGCATTTTAAATTTCTGCCCTAAAATCAGAGTTCTCCTTTCTCTTGTCCATAGTTTCGCAGAGAAAGCTGTCAGTCCAGCATTGTGTGTCACTGCTGCCGGGCATTACTGGAATACTTGTCTACCTCTGACAGGGAGCACTGAGGAAAGGCAGCAGCTCCGGGAGAACCTAAAGATGATCCTGAATGCCCTTGTTCATACCACTAAACAAGAAAATGTATAAATCGTTTGTTATTTAATGAGCTATTCTCATATTCATCCATATCAATTTATCCAACGATTCAGAGCAAGAATTTTACATAGATGACCCTCCATATCTACGTAAATCAAAATAATTCGTTATCCAGCTTTAGTAGAAATAGATACATTGCACATATAAATTAAATATCTTAACGTAGAAGTATTTCCCATATGTAGACAATCTCCAGACTGCAGGTATTCCCTACTGTTCTTTGTCTGCACCTGGCCAAAATACATATGTGGGAAGACATTTTTTCCAGAACTACAATGCTAGATTTCTGTGATGTTTAACAATGTGGTGGTACAGCACTAACACAGAGCTCAGCAGTAACGAAAACAGACCCTGAGCCTCCATGTTATGGGAAATGGTTTAGACACAGACAGACAGCCTCTCCCGGATCATTTATAACATTTTCTGCTATATCAACAGCCGAAAAGACAAAACGTCAGCCTAAAAAGTCAACAACAAAAAGAGCCACTAATGAGCAAAGCATTAAAAATAAAAAAAATCTCTATTTCTTTCATGCCATTTTTTAATTATATCTTTTTGAACGCTTGATTTTTGTTGCTATCAAGGTGACTAAGGTGTCTTAACATCCTCTGAAAATCAGTGCAGTTTTTTTTTCTTTTGGTCCTAAAAGGGAAAAGCTTGTGGGTGTGGCAATTGTGCAAAACATCTGCCCATCTCTGCCTGTGAACAGCAATCCAGCCACGGGGATAAACAGCAGTTCAACTGCAAAATCTATAATTAAAGAGCACTTATGTGAGAATTCAGAATGATGTTTATCTGTCGTGTTCTTCTCTTCTCAACACTGTTCTTAAGCAACATGTTGTAAGTGGGGGTGAACATGATCTAGCTTATATACAGATGATGGACTTTTTTTGTATAGTATTCCCAAATTGCTAACCAGTGAGTCTGGAAGAGAATTTACAGATATTGAGACAGGGATATATATAAGGAAAGGTCACACAGCCTTTGCTCCTATGTGTTATCAGTGAGCTCTAACTATGACCGACTACCTACGGCAAATGCTCAATTTCCCAAGAGAGTTAAAATAAAGCATTAATCCTTTTCCTGTTGTATTTCAGCAGCAGAGCAAAGTGAAAAGGCCGCTGACCTTGGCAGCACAGCCTCTAAGGAGATCAAAACACAGAGCAACAAGTAAGCACCAAAAAGAGCCTCAAAATATAATACATACTTTGATACAATCTACACAAATGTACCCTACAGCTAATTATTTGACCTCAGTATAGCTATGTGCTCCTTTTTGATGGGCAATAACATACCTGTGAATTCCCAAGCAGTGAAAGTCATAAAATCATAAATCATAATTACTCTTGGTTGTCCTCATGACGGTGATGCACAGTGGTGCAGTGGTTTACCGTCTCGCCTCACAGATTCAGGTTCATACCCTGGCTGGAGCCTTTCTGTGTGAAGTTTGCATCTTCTCCCTGTACATCCGTACTTTAGCTTCTTCCTACTGTCCAGCTGAGTCTACAGTGCTTTGAGATCCAGTGTTAATAAATAGATAAATACCAGTCCACTCCATGTATTTAAATGAAACACATATAGAACTTTCTCCCAAAACTGCAATGAGTTTTATTCTGTATCTGTTTTGTATATTGGTGGTATTGTTTGGCTCTGGGTTCAAACCTCTGTTTTCCTGTGCTTGGCTGTGTTTTTTTCTGGATGCTTTGCTTTCCTCCCACAGTCTAAATACATGCATGCTATGTTAGCATTAGTGGCTTTTGCTGGCTACCGATAACAAATTGATAACAAAATGGTGAACACACACTTGTTTGCTTTGGATTAGAGGCGAACATTTAAACTCTATATTTTTCTGTGTCTGTATATTTGCGTCTTTGAAAGATGAAGAGGTCCTAACCCTGAGAGCAGCTATTTACCGTTTGTTGCTCCAAATCTACATCGATGAGGAAGACTTTGAAAGCGCCCTGCAGCTGCTGGCCAAAGCTATGAGAGACATGCCTCGCAGTAGACACCGGTTGTGAGTGAAATCATGAACATGAAGAGATGAGAGGAGCTTAAAAACATAGACATTTGACTCTTCGTTGTGTTAACCCAGGTCTCTGCTCAAATATGGTGTGCTGGTGAAAGCAACGCTGGGAGAGAACATACTGCCAGACATGCAGAAATTAGAAGATGAAGGGGAGCAGTGCCATTCGTTCATGTGGCATCAGGTGGCACTGTGTGCTGACACGGTAGCCAAACAACTGACTTGCCACCAGAAAGCCATCGTCTCTCTCACAGTAATATACCTCGAAATGGAAAACATAATGCATGCAGATGATTTATAAACTTTTCATATTAAAAAAAAAACAGTCATAAAGTGCATAATATTAATCCCTGTGTTTTGACTGTGCATGGAGGTAGTGCAATATTTGTAGCAATGGTTTTAGTACCATCATGTGGTGCTGACGTGCCATTACAACCCACTTCAAATACCTTTTTATATGGTGTGAAGAGTTCCATATGATCGGGCTTGAATTTTTCATGTTTATGATTTTTTTTTAAACTTTTGTGTTTTTAATGTCATCTCTGAACAGAGCGCAGAGACTAAATGGCAGAAAGTCAGCATTCTGTTAAGTTTTGGACAGTGGCTGTACAATCACAACTTCCCCAAAGAGGATGCTAAACTTCAGGTTCAATGGGTAATAGATATCCTTCTACACATGGAACCTGGGAAGGCAGATGGAGTAGGTAGGACTCCCTGTCTCGTCTCGCTCATTGTATTATGTCAAACAAGTGTCACTGACTAGTTTTGCCAGTTCTGCTACTGTGCACTCTGAAAATCTCTGGGGGGGGAAGGTAACACATTCTGAGAATTCCCCTGAGGTTCACATCTCAGGAGTGCTTTTCCACTTGGATTAAGTCTGCATGTGTGCGATTACACATTAGCACGTGTGCCTGCATGCTTTTTTTTTAACCATCCCTGATGTTTTACACTGTGTTAGGTTAACATCTGATCAGTCTGATCCTAAAATGAGCATTGCCACTGCTTATGTGTAATTGCTTCAACATTAAAGTCATGTGTTCCCCTGTGCAAACAAAACAAAAAAAACCCAGACTGGATCAGAGGAAAACAAACTGACCACTCGAGGAAACAGATTTGTCAAGATCCCACGTGGGTACCCACTGAGAATAAGATAGCACCGCTTTAAAGAGAGTTGTAAGAAGTCTTTATAGCCTCCTGCTGCGAGTACCATTAATATTCCCTCAGAGATAAACTGCCCTCTTCAATAAAACCTCTTTATTATTCTCTTAAGTTGTAACTGTGTTTCAGTCATTCTGATAGATTATCCTAGATATGTTTCTCGTTTAACACCTTTTATGTCTCTTTTTTCTCCAGAGGATGAATCTGTAGAGAGGGATTTGGGCCCTGTGAAAAGTGAGTACGTGCTCGGAGTCCAGGGGTTGTCATTTACACAAAATGTGTCCGGTCTAAAGGAAGTGCGTCGTCTGGACTACTTGATACAAGCACACACTCTGCTTGCCATCATGGAGGACAAGACTTCGCCTGAGCACCAACTTAACCTGCTCAGAGCCTACACTTTTGTGCTCCAGATATGGCAGGTAGTGCATCTTCAACTCCACTGCTCTTGACAACTTTGACAGCGGCTTCAGATGCAAATTGGGCTCAAGCTGAGTGCAGTATGTGCCATGACGTGTGCACCGTATTTCACTACAGGTTTCTATGGCAGCAGCGTGTGAGATTTCCAGGGAGACGGCAAAGAGTGAGGCACTCCAACCTCCTGCCTCTGCTGAATCCAAAAAAGGCAAAGACAAGGGCAAAGACAAAAAAGCCAAACAGGTAAGTTTCTCATATTTGTGCCTTTGCTTGCTTTGAAATTTAACTCAGTTACTTGACTTAATGTAAAGTTATGCCAGTTATGTTCATCCACTCTGCCTGTTTGATTTCACGTTTCACAAGTTACGTGTTGACTGCACACCGGTGTTAAAAACAAAAAGTTGATAGGTTTGTAGCTTGAACCTATTCGCTGGAACGTTGAAGACAATATAATTACACAGCAAAAGCATTGAGCACCAAGTAGGCAAAGTTCTTCGTGTTACTCATGCATAAGGGAGGCCTGCCTGTCGTTCCACCACTTGACCTCCGTCAGACTCTCAGCCAGGTTCCCCATAGCACTCCTTTTATTGTGGTTACATGAATATGCATAGGGTCATTAACATCTAACATCTTACATAGGTATACATGTGAACAAAGAATACTGTGTGTGTGTGTGTGTGTGTGTGTGTGACCCCATAAATGACTTCCCTAAACCTGCTGGTCTGGAAGTCCAACAGTTCATCTAAACAAAAGGCACTTAGCCTGAAACAGATATAGATACGTTTATCCTACCATAAGACAATAAGACAAGGTACGACCACTTCCCATGCTCCCAGGATGTAGGTGTGCATTCCAGTGTGGAATACACACCAAGCCTTTCCAGCCTGCTAAAGATCACACATCCTATCACTACACAATTGATTATACACCTCTAAGCATATATGGTTAAATATTTCTAAGCATAAATGACAATCAACAATACAAAACCTAACAAAAGTCAGTACTGTGTCTCATCTGTTTGACCAGCCTACATCTGCTGATGAAAGACCTAAAGCTGTTGTCTTGGATCAGACACCTCCTTCCACCACGAGGGACTGGGCCTCCTTTGTCTGTCCCGACCAGGCCAGGCAGATATTCAGAACCAGCAGCAACCCCCACTGTATCAACACTCACAGCATTACAAAGCAGGCAAGACTACAAACTTCTCTCATACATTTCTCTCTGCATTATAAGGTGTACCATCTGTGGTATTGTCTCAGACTTCACTTTTTATTTAGCAGAGGTTGTATCTCCCAGCTATATAGAATCAAAGGCTTGGCTATATAAAAGCAAAGCGGTAACTTAAAGTCAGTGTTGCTGCAAAGTTTTGTTGACAAGAAAGCACACTTATTGATCTTTGGGGATCAAGTTAAGCTGTCAGAAGACGATAAAGCCCTGGTATTCTAAATGAAACATGTACTGTGATCCATTCATGGATCTACAGCCTCAGTGGGATGGCAATATGTAACAAGACTTCATCTAATTGGTTAGAAAAAGGAGCAAAGAGCCATTTTCTATTCTGATAAAACACTGAAAAGTCTTGATGTATACTTGTTAGTGAAAGTCTTTAAACCTTTATGTTTCTCTTTGTGTTTGGCTGTAGAAACAAAGCCTGTTTTATCTCAACCTGCTGGAAAGAGAACTGAACTCACTGTCACTCGGCCACCTGACCCTTCCTGCAGTGCATCTAGCTGAGACCATTGCTCATGAGCTTTTGGATATGACAAGCCTCTCTGACCTCTACAGGCTTAGGTAAAAACCAGGGTGACCTACACCTCACACTCAGGTCTTAGGTAGTACTACTGTATATGAGAAGAATGTTGTTTAAAGCGTTTGAGGTTCAGAGGGTGGTACAAAAATCAGATAACTTGCTCAGTGATGAACTTTATTCACTAAATACAAGATAATATTCTCTGTGTAAAAAAAAAAAGCTGCACTCAAAAAATATTTACGCCCAAATTGCTGACTTTAAATCACGGGATAACATGTAAATTTTCCGTGGAATTTTTGCTACATGAGTGCAATGTAAAACATCAAATTTCATTTGTTCAAATTAAATTGATAGTTTACTGGAATCGGGTTACATCAGATTTACTTTATTGGTATAGAGCAAGTTTACACCAAGCATTTTTTCCTAATAATTAAATATTTGAATAAATAAACCTTTGACTTTATCTATAAAGCTACGGTTTACATCATGTTTAGTGTGCCTATCAATTTTTCAACATTCTGTCAGTTTACAGGTATTCAGGTAATGCTATATATTTGAAAAAAGTTGTATGAAGCTTTATGGCTAAAGGAGGCGCTGTGTGATGTCTCAGGGCTCATGAAACAGAATTGATTGGGTCAGAACATGTAGGATGGACTCAGCTACAGGGACGCTTACTTTATCCTGATCTATGTTTAAAAGCGCTGCACGCCAACTTCTCTAACCACTTGTATCACTGTTAAGGTACAAGGTGTGATTGAAAAGTTCAGGGAACTGGTCAATAAATCTCCTGCTAAAATCTGATGAGATTTGCTGAAAAGGCTTCCAGTGCAGTTTTTGTTTTCAGATGACTTCTCAAAAGGCCCATTCTGACCACTAACACTGTGGAGCAGTTTCTCCAGTGAGAAAGAAATTCAATATAATAAATATCAGTTTCTCTTTTTATCATCTTCTTAAAAAGCAAATACACACAGTTTTTTGTTCATTTCCTGCTTGCCAAGTTTTCCACTTTCCCCACTTTTCTTCACTCACGACAGACTTCTACTGAGAGATCTTAAAGTACTGAGAGATCTTAAAGTACTGAGAGATCTTGAATGAAAAACTGGATAAATTTAAATCCGGTGAGCGTTTTCATTTTACCTATTAGACTTGTTCCCAAAACTTTTGGATCATAGCTTGAAGATACGCAGTGATAAAATTGTGTGTGGCTCAATCAGTGAATACTTACTGTTTCCAAATATTAATAAATATTATGTCAGTTTTGTATACAGTAAGTGTGGCTGTTTCCAGCACACGTTTCATCTCATTTAAATTGTGTCCCAGAGTAAAAGAATTACTTGACTTAGCTGACTGACTGAGGAGTGTCAGCCTGCAGCCCCATGAGTTACTCCATCATTGAATGCCATGTTCCTCTTCCTGTTTTCACCTTATTAGAATTGCCAGAACCTGTGTTGAGCTGGGTTTGGAGGCACACTCACCATATCAGAAGAAGCTTCTGCCTCTGAGTGCAGTCCCAGAACGAGAACAAATGGGGTACGTGAACTGGGCTATAAAGATT